TAACGGGAAAACAAATCGTTTTTATTTACGGTTTCGCTTTATCAATTGAAAAAGAATGAATGAATGATACACAGATTTGTCTGCACAGGCAAATCTTCAAATTTTAATTTTATAAGGGATTTGAATACTGGTTTTATACCATCGATGGCTTGTTGTTTGGGAGGGTATTTTTTTGAGGCACGACCTATGACTTAATTTTGGACACACTACTAATGTTGCAGCGCCTTTTATGGGCCCCACATCATATTATGTGCAGCGCATAGTGAAGGCGGTAATTGCGACAGCTCTGTAATTTGATCGGCTGCCACCCATATTTGCATTGGATGCTCGTGTGGGGAGCAGGACGGTCTGACAAAGCTTTAATACACATTAGAGAGGTTCCCATTGTCCAATCAGAAGGACAACCTTACACAAAGGAACTTGAGCAGTATTTGAAGGAATACACACTTTCAGTGTGAGTGAAGACAATCATGTTTTAACACACAGAAGGAAGGACAACAAATGCATCGATCAAAGTTCCAGCTGTAAAAACACTATGGCACCGTGAACTAGTTTAGGTCACAGAGAACCAAGGAGAGGTCACGGTGTGCATGAGATCAATTTTTCCGGAACAGGAATGACATGTACATGGGAGTAAACCAATGGGATGTTTTAAAGTGTACTTGCGATTGGCTGGATAAATTCACATATAAAGACAGACACATATAAAGAACACAGGACTTATTTAGGTTTCAGTGGTTTGGAAGCTTTTTTTCTTTCATTGAATTATCCGACTGTCTCCAGGTAACACTTTTCATTTCTTTGTTCCATCAGATCATATTCCTCTGTCATTTTCTGAGTACCTTTACGTATAGGTATGTACCTCTGCAGACCATGAAGAAATAGTTCCCTGTGGATGATTATATTTTTATACATACATTAAATTCTATCTTACATTTTTATAGATATCCAAAATATTCAACATTTCTTTTACAATACCAATAGAATTCCAATAGAACACTTATTACACGAGTAATAATGAATTAAAAGCTGTGTTATTTAAAACCACCAGAATAATGAAACCCATTGCGTTCCTTCTCCTGCTCCTCCTGGAGACAAGCTTGGCTTACTCTTACGGTGAGTTTGATCTACGAGTGTGTGTGTGTCGTATTGTCAATCATCACCAGGAGCTTCACGTAGGTCTGTTTTGTAATCTGTTTTTTTATGCAAATTAACTATTTAAATGTAGGCAGTTTTTTCTCCAAAAAAAGAAAGCAACAATCTTTTAAAGATTCATTCCATATACTGTATTTATGCACTTGGACTGCATTGGCAGACTAAAATCCTCTTTTTTGCAAACGTCCTGCAGGATTTATGTGTTGAGCAAAAAGTTCCATGTGGCTCATTTGATTTGAAGTTAAGGGTACAAACGCGAAGTCCAACATTGGATAGGGTGTCTGTATTCATGTTTTCTCTTTAGCAGCAGTGTGTTGCACTCTTAGGATCATTGTGGATTCATTAGCTGAGATGCTGATTAAAGCTTAACAATTCTAAGCCATCTTAATCTGTTTTGTGTCTTTCATCCGTCTCACAGAGAATGTGGCCATGCGTGGAAAGGCGAGTCAGTCGAGCCGTATTGACAGTGGGTTTTCAGCCGCCTACAATTCAATTGATGGAAACCGTAATCCTCATTTCAAATCTGGATCCTGTAGCCACACTATGCAACAGACCAACCCCTGGTGGAGAGTGGACCTGCTGCATCCCTACATGGTCACCTCCATCATCATCTCAAACAGAGCAGACTGCTGCAAGGAGAGGCTCAACGGGGCGAAGGTTCACGTCGGCAACTCGTTAGATGACAACGGTGCTGCAAACCCAGTGTGAGACAATATATGTCCTATGACTAGGATATTTTTATTTGTATGCATTGTTACTAAAGCCGGCATATTTTATTTGTATGCATTATTAGTTATCATACCATACCATTAGTAGTTTTAATTTTTTAATTTTACGCATTTTGAAAAAAGTTGTATAATTAACTCCGACATGTGAGTGGTATTCAAGTTTCATGAAACAAAAATCCACAAGCTAGTTTCCTTCATCGATTCACGGTGAATCTTTAAACATGGAATTAATTTCTGTTAATCTATTTCAGCATTTGAAAGTCAAAGGTCTCACAACTCTTTTTCAAATACATTATTACTAATAATCAAATCTGTAGCAACTTTGCTGTTCTCAAACTCGTGCCCTAGTCTGTATATGACTTGAGAGTACATTTCTACAGCTTTGTCAAAAGCCCCAGATGCAGAAGCATTGTCATTCAACACTGTATGGAGGGAAAGTGCTGCACTTCTAAAATTTGATTCATGTAATGTTTCATTTCTCATTGCTCTCTCTCTCTGTTAGTGTTGCTACAGTTGATAGAACTGATCAAGGATCAACGATCACTCTGACTCTCAATAAACATGTGGAGGGACGTTACGTCACGGTGGTTCTACCAGGATCAGGGAAAATCCTCACACTCTGTGAAGTGGTACAGTGAAGTCTACGGGTACCTTGCCCCAACTGGTGAGCATGTCAGCTATTACATAAATCACATCTATGTTAAATACGTTTATTTATAGAAATGCAAAGAAACCCAGGTAACACTTGTCACATTTGTTTTGCAGGAGAGAACCTGGCAGTCAGAGGAAAAGCCTCCCAGTCGTCAGTGTATTCGTCTGGCACTCCAGATAACGCCATAGATGGAAATCCTAGCAGCAACTGGGACCACGGATCCTGCACCCACACAAAAGACGACGTCCACCCCTGGTGGCGACTGGATCTGGGAAAAACCCACAAAGTGTTCTCTATTAAGATAACCAACCGACAGGAGGCCAGTGAACGACTCAACGGAGCTGAGATCCGCATCGGAGATTCCCTCGCAAATTACGGCAACGACAACGCCAGGTAGTTTACATCTACATCAATTATAACCCGTGTTTTAATACCTTATCATTTTATCAAATAATTTGCCTCACGTACACAAGAATGCTAAATGTACCTCTTTAAAATATGGCTTTTGACTGACGTTCCTAAAACTTCTAAAATATTACCTGGTTTTACTGTTTCAAGTTTCTTTTAAATGCTTTGTGCTGATGAACCGTTTTTGGGCCTTAAGTTATTCCTGTTTCTCCTGCCAGGTGTGCTGTGATCACAAGTGTCCCACCGGGTGGTGTCAGTGAGTTCCGTTGTAACGGGATGGACGGTCGCTACGTCAACGTGTTCATCCCCCGAAAAGAGTATCTGACCCTGTGTGAGGTGGAGGTGTACGGCTCTCCTCTGGATTAGGGAAGAAGAAGTTAACAATACAAACCACAAACAATTAGAAATCAATTCTTCACTAAAGCCTGACAGTAACTGTGAAATTATTTTTTATGGCACTACTGGTACTAGATATTCATTTGCAAGGCTGTTGTTGAGTCTTTTCATTGAAATCATCAATACTGAAATAAAATTGAATCATTTACACTGCAGTTTCTTTCTTATTTCATCCTTGATGGTCTGATGTCAAGCGTTTTTCTGGCATTTAATAGATTTTGTTGACTTTTTGGCCTGGAAAATCATGATGATGATAATAACTACTTTGTGACTTTGGGGTTTTTGTGGGGTTAAAGGGGAACCCCTGTGAGTGGTACGACGTGGAAAAGTGAGTTCATATTTTACTGGTAAAAAAATAATAAATAAATACATTTCACAAACAGCCCTGTAAATAGAATAAACAACATGTACGTGATAGCCGCCCGTGTGGACAGTACACGTGTAAAGTAAAGTTGATAGAGAGTATAAACTACTCTAGAGAAGGCTTTTGTGAAGGCCTCCTGTCAGACCAACCGCTGGAGCAAAATCTAATTTCTCGAGCTCAGAGAGGTCGATCCGCCTCGTTCACCCACACTACTGATTTTTCTAATCACCCTGAATACGACTAAAGTGACGCGCAAACGCCCGATAGCTTACTCCCGTCACTTAAAAGAAAAAACGGGTAGAACGTCAGATGACACTCAAGATATTTAATGGCTCGAAAAAAAAACTACCAGAGTTCTCCCGATGCCATTTCCCTGCACACAAGGACAAAGCAGGAAGCCCAGCGGCTGTAGCTCATTGCAAAAACAGTGGATTAATTCCATAATTTCCATGAAAACTGACAAAAGTTGGCTTGGCGGGTTCTGTACTAAAGGTTTGGCATGGTTTGTCTGAGAGAAAATGACACAGACATCCCCGGATTCAGCGCAATCTCCTCATGCTGTTTATGTCCGCCCAGCAGTTAGCATCGAAAAAAAGAACCATGGTGTGGTTATTACATACATGATTATTCATTCTCAAGCCCTCAACCGGTACTGATCTATCCTCAAATGTAGAAACAGCAATAAACCCTGATATACATTCCGACAACCTGGACCAATTGGGGGGGGGGTCGTCCTTTCTCTATGACCTCAACCCACTAAGCTGCTCAAAGCAGTTTTATTAGCATCTCCACCAGATATTATCAATCTTTACCAACAAGCCATGTACCATAGTCCTTTAAAGTACCTGTTTTAGCTACCAATGGACCCAACCATAACCTTCCCTGTCCCTTAAGATCCTTGAAAGAAACGTCTCTAATCAGTTTTCCTACAAAATGTTTTATTTGAGGATTTTGAAGCCATAGAGAGCATCATAGCACACAGACGGAACTGGCCTTCTAATTGCATCAGAAAAAGACTAGTCTCTGTTCTTGTGTTCTTATACGTTGTTTCTGCGTTTGACACCATTGATCATCACATCCTGTATGAGACGGTAGAAGATTTGATTTGCATTAAGGGAAAGGTAATCTGGTTTAAGTCCTCTCAGTTTTACATGAAACCAATGACTTCTCGATGAACAACAACGTCAGTCAGTTCCCAAAGGTTTGTTCTGTTGGACACAATTTCATTCCTCCTGTGTATTCTTCCTCTGGCAATATCATTGGAAAACCTTCCATTAACTCTCATTTTCAGGCAGATGACACGCAATTCTGTTCATCAAGACAGACAAAATATACCCTTATACCAAATATACCAAATAAACCAAAATATACCACTTCAATAATGTCTTAAGGAAGTGAATTCAACGACACTATGACCCGGCACAACCGTCAGGAACCGTGATCTTGCATCCAACTCCCATAAGCGCCTCCGACCCTTCTCTTTTTATTCTCTCTGCAGAGGGTTACGCTCCGTTGTGTGAGTGTGTGTGTGTGTGTGTGTGTGTGTGTGTGTGCGTGTGTGCGTGTGTGTGTGTGTGTGTGTGTGTGTGTGTGTGTATGTGCAGCTTTAACTCTCTGCTGGTTGTGTGTTACCACATGTGGGATTCAAACTTTCCCTGCACGCAAGTTTGTGGTGATGTATGTCATAGAATTAAAGTCTAAGGGTTACACATGTGGCAAATAACCTTTCAGAGGGAGAAACAGAAGTAGAGCGTTTGAGATGTTGAAATCCGTCAAAATATGCAACTAAACACTTTCACATGCATGTATCATTCAGTCGAGCCTTGAGTAATGAGAATCAGGCTGTTTCCAAAGACCAATCCTCCTGCTGCAATGGTCCATTTGAACGGAGCCCTCGTCTGCAGAGGAGTGAAGGATGTCCAGTAAGCAAAGACCAAAGAAATTCTCATTCCAGTTACTTTTGTGAAGAAGAAAAAAACTGTGATGCTTTGTAAATGTTATTAAAAAATACATTCTGGACAGAGTAGCTCCGCCCAAGCTTTACATTATTGTGAATGTATCAAATCTAATATATAGATAGATATTTGAGTATTTTAACATCATCTGGTTGAGGTGACGGGTGGTCACACTTCCTCTTTTGATAATGTTTTGGTTGTGAAATCTTAGTATGTAGACTAACTTTGGTTTTCACACAAATGTAGCAGAGTGATTAAGTAATTTAATTAAGTAAACAGCAGTGGTATGAAATGGGAAAAATCATATAAAGTACCTCTGAATTGTAAGTACACCGTGAACTCTTGGTTATGGGTATTGAATTATTATTATTATTATGTGTGTGATCTTTGACACACTTCTTGTCAAAGTACTTCTGAAAATGAATCACGAGTTCGGGGAAGGGAACTACATGTGCATGGGAGTAAACCAATGGGATGTGATTGTTTTGAAGATGAATATGATCTAACATCTTATGATTGGCTGGATACATTCAGCGTGACGCATATAAAGAACACAGGACTTGATTTTATTGTTTGGTTTGGAAGCTTTTTTTCTTTTTCACTAAATCATCTGACTGTCTTCAGGTAACACTTTTAATTTATTTGTTCCATCAGATATTCTGTCATCTTCCACATATAAATATGTACATCTGCAGAATATGGAGGCAAATAATCGTTGCAAACATAACAGTGCAATGTAACTGAATACTTAAACTATGTATACGCACTCGTTCCTTCTGCTAAACAGCAGTTTTCAGGTGGATGAAATTATTTTTCATTTTTAAAATTTTATAGGCATCCAACACATTTAATAATATAGTTAGAATTTCAATAACACACATATTACACAAGTAATAATGAATAAAAATGAATTTTATGTAAAACCACCAGAATAATGAAACCCATCATGTTCCTTCTCCTGCTGCTCCTGGAGACGCACTCGGCTCACACTTACGGTAAGAATAATCTGACAGTATGTGCAGCGTGTCTACTGTCAATCATCACCAGGAGGTGCACGTAAGTCGGTTTGGTAACTAAGAAAAGTTACTAGTATGTTTATGCAAATAAACTAGTTGTGGAGAGTTTTTCTCCCTGGACTTGGGTTCATAGAAAGCAATGTTCTATTTCAGATTCATTCGAGATTGACACTGTATTGTGTTTTTTTCATGTACTTGTATTCTTTATAAAAAGTAATTTCCTTTCTCATATAAAAAATATATATATATATTTATTCTTTTGGCTCCCACACTGGCTTATCTGAACCCTCTATTGCCGGTGTGCCCCCCCGTGCTGTAGTTGGACTGCTTTGCCAGACCAACATCCCCTTTTCTGCAAACTTGTCAAACAACTTCCTGCAAGATTTATGAACCGAGCAAAAAGTTTGCATGTGGCTCATTTCTCTGTTGTATAGCTTGTGTGTACTTTGTGTTTTATCTATTTCCCTGTTTTTTCTTCACTAGCAATGTGTTGTGCTCTCAGGATTATTGTAAAGTTATTAGCTGGGACTTAACAAAGCTTAACATTTCAATTTCTTTAAATCTCTTTTGTGTCTTCAATCCGTTTCTCACAGAGAATGTGGCCTTGCGTGGAAAGGCGACTCAGTCGACCCGTTATGGGGACGAATACGGCGCTGCTTACAATGCGATTGATGGAAATCGAAATTCTTTTTGGCTGGCTGGCTCCTGTACCCACACTAACGAAGAGACCGGCCCCTGGTGGAGAGTGGACCTGCTGCGTCCCTACACCGTCACCTCCATCGCCATCACCAACAGAGCAGACTGCTGCGAGGAGAGGCTCAACGGGGCGAAGGTTCACGTCGGCAACTCGATAAAGAACAACGGTGCTGCCAACCCAGTGTGAGAATATTTATACATTATTCTAAAACTAGACAAACTTGTATTTGTATTTATTTGTTTGTTTGTTGTTACCAAAGCCGGCTCTTAAATGTTTTGGGAACAAACAACTCAGAGACCTTAGGGTGCTGAAGTGATGTTCACATTATTAATAAAGCAGCGAAAACCTTACAGCTAAAGATCTAGTGGAGTAATGAAAGTCACTCTTACTGTGTGTGTGTGTGTGTGTGTGTGTGTGTGTGTGTGTGTGTAGTTATATTCTATAACCTGTTTAGAAAGAAACTAGCATGGAGAAATCAGTTCTCAAATGAAAATCAACAAGCTTATTTCTTTCTTCATCTTCATGTTGAAGGACTACTAAGTATGAATCTGATCCTTGTGATGTTTTATTTCTCATTTATGTCTCTCTGTTAGTGTTGGTACAGTTGATAGAACTGATCAAGGAGAATTGATCACTCTGACTTTCACTGAACACGTGGAGGGACGTTACGTCACGGTGGTTCTACCAGGATCAGGGAAATACCTCACACTCTGTGAAGTGGAAGTCTACGGGTACCGCGCCCCGACTGGTGAGCCTTTAAGCTGTTATTTTATTTTTGAATGCTTAAGGCTACATTTCATCAAAAACAATCATACCGTTAATTGTGTTTAATCCTCTTTATTATACCTCCTACATCATTTCTTTTTTTTTTTCAAACATATTTAGATTTATTTTTAAAAACTTTTCTGAAACTTTTCTTCTATTTTTACAATTTTGTAAGTAAATAATTATGGTGTTAATGGTGTTTAATCCTCTCTCAGGAGTACCTTTTCATTTATTTATTTATTTATTACATTCATCTGAGAGAAGCTTTCATCCATACTTGTCATATTTGTTTTGCAGGAGAGAACCTGGCACTGGGAGGAAAAGCCTCTCAGTCGTCACTGTACATGTTCGGCGCCGCCTATAACGCCATCGACGGGAATCCTGGCAGCAAGTGGGAGGACGGCTCCTGCACTCACACGCAAAACAACGTCAACCCCTGGTGGCGACTGGATCTGCGTCAAACCCACAAAGTGTTCTCCGTTAAGATAACCAACCGAGAGGAGGACGCCGAACGACTCGATGGAGCCGAGATCCGCATCGGAGATTCCCTCGCCAACTTCGGCAACGACAACGCCAGGTAGTTTAGCACGTGTCCACTTACCAGCCAAGGTTTCTTCTTTACACCTTTAGTACATTAGGATTCTATATTTCAACCCAACTTTTTTCCTTTTTTTTTTTAGCCACAGCTTTGATACAGATTATAATATAGACATTTTGCTCAGACATTCATTTTATCCTCAATCATTTCTTCCTTTAACTTTTCATCTAATGTCATCATCTGTTTAAAAATACTGTTCTTCCAAAACGTTTCATTAACAAAAGAATCACATTGCCTCATTATTCTTGCATGAAAGCAGTAAAACCTGTAGGATGATAACATCCATCGTTGCTTTTACTTTGTTAAAAGAAAAGGTAATTCATGAAATACTCTAACCATCAATTATGAACACTGAACAGCTGAACTGTGGAAGAAATCCCTCTTCCCACAAATACTAAATGCACCTCTTTTCATTCTGGCTTTTGTTTTAATGTTTGTATGCTTCACTGCTTAAAGCGCCTTTTAGCTGCTCTGTGTTCTTCATCAGAGCAACAGAGACCAAACGTTTTTGGACCTAAAGTCATTCCTGTTTCTTCTGCCAGGTGCGCTGTGATCACCAGCATCCCAGCGGGTGGTGTCGGTGAGTTCCAGTGTAACGGGATGGACGGTCGCTACGTCAACGTGGTCGTCCCCAGGGAGGAGTTTCTGAGCCTGTGTGAGGTGGAGGTGTACGGCTCTCCTCTGGATTAGTGACGTTAACAATACAAATCAACAATCAGACATATTTTCTATACTAAATTGTAACAGTCATCCTATTGTGAAATTATTTCTTATGTCACTACTGGTGCGTATGTTTTTATTTGTATGGCTGTTGTTGAGTGTTTATTGAAATCATCAATACCGAAATAAAAAATTAACAATAATTGCATTTGTTGTTTCAACATTTACGACCGTGTGAATCATTTACATTGTTGTTGTCATCAGGACGGATGGAACAAATAACTGGTAATTTAATTTAAAACTAAGAACGTAAATGCATACAACGTAGCTCCAGTATGCTGAAGTCACAAACTAATTAGCATTAGAGGGCTCTGATGAACAGTTAGAATTGAACAATTAGATGGTATAGTTATTATCTTACCAAGCTTTAACCATTTGTAATACAAAATGAACAAATGGTGAATAAACGTTACTGGTCTGAACCAGTGAGGGAGTGAACAACGCTCAAAGGGGTTAGAAGTTCTTTGGAACTGATTGTACTTCCGTCCACTTACACAGGCGTGTATGTAACGTATTGGATGGTATGTACAAACATGACGCACTGAGGTGAAGGTGCACTCGGCTTATTGCGGGATGTTACGTTTAGGGGAGCCGGGGAGTAACAAAAGAACATAAACGATAAGATAAGGAATTGGTAAACGAAAGACATTTATTTCACAATAAAGTGTGTGCCTTCAAATCCAAGCTCTCTGACTGGCTCCCCCCACCCTCCTGGAAGATATGAAGAGAATTCTTTGGAAGAGGACACCTATAGAGATTGCATAACGACTGAGGGGCTGCAAGGTTAGTGCAACGGTGAATTCAGTTCTAAATCCTAATTTAAAGACCTCAACCATTGAATCTCTTTTGGATAGCCAGAAATCACACATTTGCCTCAGTGGGCGTGACAATCTGTACACGTACAATATTTGTACACACTTTTTAGACTCACGATGCTACAGGGGCAAAGTCACTTGGATTTGTGAGAAAAGGGAAAATCTGCTAAAAGTGTTCCCTATATTTTAAATGCAAAACACATATATTTGTCTTCTGCCACTAGTATTTTATTTGAGGGGTATTTTGTATCAAAAGACCAAACATCCTCCGTTGTATTATCTTCAAGCCCCCATTCTCATAGATAGAAAGGAAACAAACAAATACAAAACCAGTCACTGGGCGTGGATCTTGGTCTTGGTGTTGGGGCTTTAATTACTATGCTGATGTGAGAAAGGAATTGTAGGTAATCAACGTGTGTTATCTCTCCTCCCACACAATATTTGTGAAAATTCTTTGGAACCGGACTCCTTCAGTTAATGAGCCTAAACACACTAATCTGCTGGAAGATATGAGAGTTCTTTGGAAGGTGACAGCTACAGATAGTGATTGCAAAATGAGTGACATGCTAGAGGTGGCAACAGTTGTATAATATCCATGTGCTATAGATACGACCCAACCATAACTCCCACAAAGCGGTGTGTATATAAAGAGAAGGGTGAGTGTCACTTCAACACATACGTCAAGCGTTCATCCGAGGAGCCTGAGTGGTGAGCAAAAACCTTCAATGTTACTTCTTATATATTTTGCCAAAAGCCATTTTCATTGTGATATCAGCGTGTTGAAAGTTCTTTGCACTGAGGCTGATCTGGTAACAGTTGGACGAATGTTTAGAAAGGTTATTATGTTTCTCCCCTCCAGGATCCCTCTGCCTCGCAAGTGTGAAAATGGTGAAATACGAAGTGACCGTATTCACCACCGACGTGGCCGACGCCGTCACTTTTAACGACGTCTTCATCAAGCTGGTGGGCACCGACGGGGAGAGTGACCGCATCTGGCTGGATAGATATAAAGGAGCGCTGTCTTTCGTCAGAGGAGCAGTAAGTCTGAAACGTCCTCCTCTAAATGAATCACACTCTTCCTCGACGTCAGATTATTAGATTAAGTTGATGTCGTGCTTTGTCCACCGACACGATCAACAGGGTAGAAGCTGCACTTTAACTCTTTTAACTTTGGTGACCAAGGCAAAAAACAGTCGTCATAAATAATTATTATATTTAGGCATTGTTTTTCTCCATTCAGTATTGCACGCTAACCCATCCCATTCCTGTCTTTACTCCAGGACTCGACTTTCACCGTGTCCTGCCCCGTCTCTATTGGATCGCTGGTCCTGATAGAGCTTGATAAACAGTCTCCCAGCATCTTCCCCCAAGATGCTTGGTTCCCTGCCAAGGTGGAAGTGAAGTCCCCCGAGGGTAAAACCTACAAGTTTCCCATCCATCGCTGGATCGCTGACAGTGCGGTGCACCGCTTCAGGGAGGCGAAAGGTTTGTGTGAATCTGACTCAGACCCCATGTAAGCTGTTCACTAACGTGACAGAAGGAAAAGCTGGTCTCCAAAGAGGCTGTAGTAACCAACACGCCGTTTTTCTTTAATTTCTTCAAGCTCTGAGAATCTTCGAGGATGACAACGATCTAGGCAGATACAGTCGGATGCAGGAGCTGAAGCAGCGAGAGGAAGACTACCGGTGAGCGGGGTTATTGAGCCAGGGTTTATTCAAATGTGTTTTGCAAATCTGCAATATTGAAGTTAAGTATATTGTGCTTACATACTAAATTAAAGGGCTTATTCACTTGTGTCAGGGCAAAGTTCCTCATTGCTTTGCTCTTCATTTACCAGCTGGGACGAGTATCTGGAGGGGATCCCCCACCGTATGAAGGCAAAGTGCCTTTTTTCTCTACCTTATGAGGTCTGGTTCTCCTTCACTAAAGCTGCAGAGTTTATCTACACAGAAGCCACTGGGTGAGTATTCTGTGGAACTGAGTCTCCCTAGTAAATTATTTAAGGGTTAATGATAATATTGACTTCTTGATTTTATCTCTCAGGCTGCTCGAGTTGCAGCTGAAGGGATTATCTGGTTGCAAGAAGAACTGGCCTGATATTATTTCTATCCATCAGGTGTTCTGCTGCAAAAACACGGCCATATCAGGTACTGTCGCGGTAATTTAATGACATACTTGATAGTGTTCATTCACATGTTCATGATCCGAAAACATGTTACTCATGTTCTTGTTCCTTGGCTTTAAAAGTATGGGGAAAATGTAACAGAGGAAATTGTTTAACAGTACGTTTTTGCATACAATAGTGGGCAACAACTTGTTTCTCAAAAGTCTGTTTCGCAGTGTAAAGTTAAGCTGAAAAGATGATTTTTCTCCAGATTATGTCCAGGATAATTGGAAGGAAGATTGTTTCTTTGGCTACCAATTTCTAAACGGGGCCAACCCCATGATGATCCAACGTTGTTCAGTCCTGCCTGATAACTTTCCTGTCTCCCTCGAGTATCGGAGCTTGGCGGATGAAATGAAGGTGAAGGTCTTGACTTTGATCATATATGTTCAACCTGGAGAAGCATGCTGCACTTGCGTTAACGTATTGTGATTAATATTCTCAGAGTCAATTTTTTTTTATTCCTCACTCAAATTTGAAAAAGAAAGGAAACATATTCCTGTGTGACTACAAGCGTCTGGATGGACTGAAACCAAACGTCATCAACGGGAAGAAGCAGTACTTGATGGCTCCCCTGGTCCTGCTGCAAAAAACAAGCAATGATAAGCTGATGCCAATTGCTATTCAGGTAAGATTAGCACTCAAATAGCTGATTTGCAGATATACAATACTACAGATGTCATTTGTGCAAAGAAGATCAAAATACCTTTAGAGTATTGACACAAATAGAGTGCTTAACCATCTATATGAATAGTGTGAATCAGAGAAAAGATTATTCAAATATTTTCATTGAAATTGCCGTATTTCCTCCCTTTTCTCTTTGACAGAGATATGAGAATTTAGGCATTAGAGCATTGAAGTAGGCCTTCTTTGACCTCATCTGGTAACCGATTGAAAAGCTGGACATAACCAGGCCTCCTTTCTTCTCTGCAGCTGAAGCAAATTCCCGCAGAGGATAATCCCATCTTTTTTCCCACCGACGGGTTTGACTGGTTGTTGGCCAAAGTTTTTGTGAGAAGTGCCGATTTCAACGAGCATCAACTCGGGTCTCACCTGCTGCGCACTCATTTGCTAGCTGAAGTGTTCGCCGTGTCCCTGCTGCGCAACGTGCCCATGGTGCATCCGCTCTACAAGGTGACTGAGGAGGACAATCCTTCCTTTTTGGGTCTTCTAGTTCATGAATCATAAGGGAAAGTATTTACGCCGCTAAGAGGCATGAACATGTGTGCCTTGAAGTTATTCAAGTTTTCCTCTTCTTTTTTTCAGCTCCTTGCACCTCACACTCGCTACACTATACAGATCAACTACCTAGCTCGGGACTTTCTGATATCTGAGTCTGGAGTTTTCCCACAGGTACCAATACCTTAAGACATATGTACAGTATTCATATTTATTTTTCATCTGTAACTTTACTCCTTACATATTTGAACGTCTCCTAGATTGCAGCTGCTGGGGGAGACGACATGAAGACCCTCCTGAAGAGATTGTGGTCCTCGGTGACCTACAGCTCCCTCTGCATTCCAGACGACATCGTTGAGCGCGGGCTGGAGGCCGTGCCCAACTTCTACTACAGAGACGATGGACTCAGGCTTTGGAATATCATCCACAGGTAGTACAGCTATGCTGGTATTGGAGAACAAGAACTCTAAAGCTCAACCAAGAAGTTTATTTTAATTTTTGTGGGGGGATTTTCACGGACCAGTGGTTTGGGACCGTTGTCATGCAGGATCAGTTAAGCCGTAACCTGCATATTCTACCCCTTCTTCTCCCCTACGAGAGTGGCACAACTGATCACTCTTAAGCAATGACCTTAAAAAATGTCTCTAATGTGGAATGTATTCACATTTTCTGAAAGTTTTGTGAACGACGTGCTGAGCTTCTACTACAAGAATGATGCTGAGGTCCAGAAGGACTCGGAGCTGCAGAAGTGGATTTCAGACATCTTTGAACATGGATTCCATTCCCAACCCGGCACAGGTGGGCTGAGCGACAGGTTCAATCTTAATAATGAAAATATGCATATTTTAGAACCATAATATGATCATAATGCAAATAAAAGTCAAACTTATATTGTCGTCTATACCATTTTAACATTTATTCCCTCTTATTGTCAGGAATTCCCCAGAGCTTTGCCACCGTGGCTGATTTGGTGAAGTTTGTCACCATGGTGATCTTCACTTGCTCGGGACAGCACTCGGCGGTGAACAGTGGACAGGTAACAGGACTTTTTCTATTTGCTTGATGCCATTTTTGTGGAATGAAATGCAGGAGGATTTTACTGTTAGCAAGTTGAACAGAAACAAGATTTTTCAGCCCTGCCAGCGGCACCGCGATGCTTTGAACAACAAATGCTAACGGACTTGAGGTGGCAACATGCTGAGAAGGTGTAATGTTGATTAAGTAACGTGTTAACATGCAAGCATCAAAGATTGTCTAAATCAATAAAAAAAACAAAGTACAGATGTGGCCGGTAGGAACGTCATTCGTTATGAAGGTATAGGCTAGAGGAAAAAGTCATCCTCATGGGACCACGTCTATCTTTATCCAACATAACCAATACAACACTGTCAGATGGCAAAAGTTTCAAAGCGCATTCATCGGTTATTGCATTCATTGATCACAGTTTGACTACGGCGGCTGGATGCCCAACAATCCCAGCTCCCTACAACAACCTCCGCCCACCACAAAGGGGACAACAAGCGAGGCCACGCTGCTGCAGACTTTACCTGACGTCAACACGACGGTTAAGGGAATGTCCACCTTGTGGCTGCTCAGCAAGCAGTCCACTGACTTTGTAAGTGCCCAAGTCTTTAATCAAATCAAAATGCACGTTCAAGTTGTTTATGTTCTGCTAAGTAAAACTGGACAATACTTTAAATTGTCAAAGGTCTGATTCAAAATTGACACTCTAACAAATTCTTTTTTTAAATGTATCCCTGTTGTCAGGTCCCTCTTGGCCAGTACCCAGAGGAACACTTTGGTGAGAAACAACCCTGCAAGCTGATAAAGCGCTTTCAAGCAGAGCTTAAAGTGCTAACAGCTGAGATCAAAGTCGAAAACCTGAAACGCGAGATCCCCTACACATACCTGGATCCACTGGTAGCAGAAAATAGTGTGAGCATTTGAATATCAGAAGGTGTGATCTCCTCAGATGTCGGGCCAAATTCTTCTTCACATTAACAAAAACTAGAAAGGGAAGAACTGCATGTTCTGTCTTTTTATGGAATGAAACGGTGCATGTGTTTGTTGAATGCTGATCAATGAATTTACAATTTTGTATCACCGTACACGTACATCTTGGTTCTTCAATGAATATTCTCTGAAGAAAATAAATATTTCTGTTCATAAGCAACCTTTTCCCATTCCTCTATGTGTCTTATTGTGCATGACAGACATCACCGCTGCTTAGCTCCGTGAACCTGCCCTCATATTTAACCTCCCTTTTCATTGCATTCATTCATGGCCTGTCTGTGGTCTGTGTGGTCCAGGCACAAGGAAACAGGTTTTTACTGAAAAGTGGGTTTATCTTCCCGAACATTCTTCCAAAGGTACACATTTACCAAAAAAATGTATTAACAGTTTTAGGGCCCCAATAAAACAAGCAAGCCCCTCCCAGTTGATGCCCCGCCCCCTACGCCATATAAGGGTCAAAAGAACGCAAAAAAAAGATGTAAATATATATATTTTTTTTTAATAGAATCGAGTCCAAACTATATTCAACCTGAAAATACTTTTCGTCCACTTATTTATTTCATATACATTGTTGTATTTTTCAATGTTCAAGACCAAAACTTAAACTTTCAGGTTCACATTTGTTTTTCAAATGATCAAAACTTTTGACCTGGATTTGGCTCCATAAGGAGCCCTCCTCAAAACGGCTCCAGCTGAAGCACGTGTCTCCTGAGTTGAGTCACATTGAGTTGTGTATCAACACTGCTCCCTCCCACTAGAGGTTAAAGGAACAGCAGCCTAAAGGTTCTCCTCTAATCAAAGTATTGTTAAAGTGGTTCAGATGTTGGTGGCTCACACCATGGTGCACAGTGACACCGTGTGGGGGACGGCGCGAGGACAGAGGTATATTTGACACGTTTCAAACATTCGCGTGGATTTTGGAAGAGACCGAGCCTTCATCCTCCCAGCTAGTGCACGATCACCCGTCTTTGCTTTTAAAAAAAGAGTTTGAGCGCTACTTCCCAACCACAAAAGACCCACGAACTGCCAAGGAATGGATCCGCGACCCATTTGTCATCGAACCAGGTGAATCCAGCAGGTCGATGGTGTGATGTTCATGACGTAACCACGTCACCTGCGGAGATAGACGCGCAAGACACGTGAGCAGGAAGTACGAGAACGGTAACGTGTAAAACAGAGCCGGAGAATAAACGCCCGTGGATATTAATCAAACTGTGTTAGGTCTGGTGTATAAACCCACACAACGCAAACACTACAGATGGCAACACGGTCAACTGCTGGAGATCGCAAATGACGGCGTCCTTAAAAGTATGTTCTGCCGGTGTTCTGGATCAAAGTCACGGCAGAATACCCTGAGATCGCCACAACAGCGACAGCGAAAACCTTTTTGCAATTTCCGACAACCTATTCGTGTGAAGCGGGATTGTGTGCACTTACAGCAACCAAAACAAAATTACTGGACATAAGCAACACACTTCGAGTGTCACTGTCTCCCATTACCTCTGGATGGGACCGTCTCGTTGCAGAGAAACAAGCTGAGGGCTCCCACTGATTTAACATTATGCGAGTTGTATTTTTAATGCACTTTATATTTGTTTTTTTGTTGTATCTTATTTTGAAGGCACGTTTAAACGTTACCATAGCGACCAGAGTGATACTCATGTTGTTGGCGCGATGTTACGGTGACGCTGATAATAAAGTTGCATACGTTTACACAGTGGATTCACGTTCATTATTATATTTAGAAAATACCGTTTTATGCTGGTGCAGGAAATTCAACATAAATATACAATCATATACAGTGCATCACTTTTTCAACATTTTGTTAGATTAAATTCAAAATCCTACACACAACATGCTGTAATGACAAAGTGAAAAATGTTTTGGGGAAATATTTGCAAATTAATTTAATCTATTTTGGAATAAGAACATCTGGAAAAAGTAATACGCTGTGAATACTTCCCGGATGCACTGTATCTACTGATGACACTTAATTTAAGAAACAGTTTTTGGAAATGATTATTAAATACATTTGAGTTAAGAGGTCAAGTAAATACTTTTTAAACAAATTTAAGACAATGAAATATTTTATTTTAAAATACAGGCAAAATAGACAAATACTATAAAAGACATCCGAAACCCACAAACGCCTGCGACAGGAAAATAAATACTTCTGTCTCAGTGAGTGAGACAACTTCTACCCCGTCTCTGCACAGGAGGACACAGTCAGACATCCGATGGACACAATGGCACCGATGAAATGTGTCCTCTTAGATTACGGTTCGACCGATCGCTCCGGCACATTTCAAGATGGAATTTCTCTCTCTCATTTCTATACACACGTCATCAGGTCCCTCCTGTCTAATAGAAATGTGTCCTTTTGTCTCATTTTGATGTCCAGATCAGTTCAATAGCCTGCATCAAGATGTGTTGTACCAAAATCCTCCCATCCCGTTACACCTTTAGCTAGCTAAGCTAAGCTAAGAGAACTGTCATGTGCCTCCACTAAGACTTAATATGGTTCTTCTCAATAAACTCTTATGAAAAGCAAATGAGCGTATTTTCGGACATATTGAAGGTCATTAATGCACCTTGAAGAAGAAACCAACGACTGGTACCGTCAAATCCACTGCTACAAATAGTGTGGATCGGCTTTTCCACAACTCAGTTCTCGTTCACAAAAACACGTCTTTTACAGGCTACAGCTTTAAGAACAAGACTACCTTTGGCAATGAGCCGTTATGAAGGAACACAAACTGTACATTGGCCTTTTACAGTTTGGCTATTTACAAAAGTATTTGTGACATTTAGAAGAAATCTACTTGTTTTGCCCACCTGTTTATAACATAATTAAGAACGAATGCTCTGATTGACAAAAACATTATTCCCAAACCTCAATTAGCTCGGTTAGCGTGTCATCCCGCGTAACAATTAGCGATGTGCTTCTCTTGGCAAAGAGGGAATCGTTTTCCGAGCGACGGGGCCTATTTTTGGGAGATGATGGGCCATTTTTAGGACTGGTGAGAATAATGGTTCAGCACTCCATCCATGTGGAAATGCTTTTGAAAAAGCCTCCAAACAGAAAAACATGATCCCTTGCTTTCATTCTTTCGGAAGCTTTGCTCTCTGTACGTTCATTTTACTAAAGAGCTCCTCTGGGACCTTGACGAGCCGAGAGGGCTGAGTGATGAACACAAAGAAGTATTCTTTTTACCCTTTGAAATGTAAATAAAAAAACAGCCTAGTGCTGAAAAAACATTTTTCATAAGCAGAAGTCGGCTTTTGCCGAGTTTGCAAAGGACATTGCTTCACAGTATGTGGACACCATTGAACTTCTTATGCCAAAAGAAAGTGAATCTTATACAGTGAGAAACGATGCTGACGTGCAAGCGGCATCTCTTTGAGGACAGCGTTTCTGAAACTCAAGATTCTATACAACAGAACCTTTGCAGGATTTCCTCCGAGTCACAAACACTGGCAGCAGCAGGAGGAGGAGGAGGGGGGGGGGGGACGAACCCGCTCTGTGAACGGGACTGTGGTGGCGTTTGACGGAAAAGTGGTGAAAAAGAAGAAGGGAACCAGTCCGCCACACGGTGTTATCTCAGCTCATTAGCAGCTTTGGGGACTTTGAGAACTTTGTAAATGTCATTGGAAAACACGGTGGTGAAGTGGGGTCTGGAGCTCCTGGACATGTGGGTGCAGAGGGGAGTTTTACCCGCGTTTAGGGGGTCCTCGACGTCCCAAATCTCTGGCATGCTGCACCCGGGCCTGGGCCGAGAGGGGGAGAGAGAGAGGGAGAAAAACAAGATTAACAAAAAACAGAAAATCCGCAACCTGCATTTTAAACCAAATTGAAATGGGTCTCAAAAAACAAAAAAAGTGAAAACTGTGAGACTTTGCCGATGTTATTTGCTGGGATACCTGGTACGCCGGGTGCACCACGAGTCTTCCAACACAAAGAAGTCCACGCCCAGTTTCACCAGGTTCCCCTTCACGGTGTCTGCAGACATGCGGCTGTACATGGAGTACACCAGCTTGGTTCTCTCCCTGCGAGGGACACGACACAGTGACTCCACTACAGTCAACGATGGCAATGAATTGTGAGGCTAGATAACCAGATTGCCTCAATTATTTGCCCACTTAAGTCATCGTATCCATCTTACGAGCGATTAATTACAAAATCCAATATTTTAATTCTTTTTTACACGCTATCGATACCAATGTTACTATCTTATCATGTGAAGCAGTGTAAGAAGCTTGCTAATTTGAAGATGGTTAGATTTCACACACACACACACACACACACATTTCACATGAAAATCTAGCACATCGTGTCCAAAGAGCCACTGACCTCAGCCCAGCGTCTTCGTAGTGGGGGTGGTTGACGATGGGCCGCCCCGTGGAGAGCTTCACGCTGGCCATGGTGGGCATCGCCCCGGCGAACACGGAGTCTGCATCGTCGAAGAGCGCAGGACAAAATACAAGTAACACCAGTGGAACTTGTTAGCAACAGACCGCGTACGGGCGCAACATCGTGACCTTTGTGAAGGAGGATTTGCATCAGGATGGTTGTATAGCTTTATTTTATTGTGTGTTTATTAATATTCACAACAGAACCACAGTTACTGTTGCAAACTAATTAAGCTGGATTGATCTTGAATGTCTAGACATTTTTTTCACCTTTATTATTTATTTATTAATTCACTTGGAAGAGGTACAACAGCTGTATTCCAGATATTAAGTAGACCTGTCTGGCCTTGCTGTATGATGTAATTATGCAGAGTAAGTAAGAAATTCAAATGTGTTCATATAGCTCCTATTTTGCCAGTTATTTGGATAAAGTTTTAGATTTTCCAACTCATCCTACTGATATTCCCCCCCCCCCCCCCCCCTTCCCCTCACCGGGACGGGTGTTGTCCTGGATCCAGTCCAGCAGCTCCTCCTGCGGCAGGTTGCTGAACTCTCCGATGATCCCCCACTGGGCCCGCAGGTTGGCCACTCCGTACACGGCCATGACGGCCATGACCACGAACACGGCCAGCTGGTGTTTCAACTTCTCCCCGATCCAACCAAACAGCTGCGGGGGGGTAGAGAGAGTATTATTAAAGAACAGAAGCAGAGCTCAACAAACCGCAGCAGGAGGAACAAACTTCCATCACAGACCTGTTTGGAGCAGATGAGCGAGGCCATGATGCACATGTGCGGCGTCAGGAAGAGCTTCAGACGCATGATGAGGACGGCGAGGACGGCGAACGCCACCAACTGCAGGCCGTGGTACACCAGCTGCAGAGACACAGGTTAGCAAGCAGTCTGAAACGAGCAACGTACTCCCCCCCCCCGGCAAGCCTGACCGATCCCACGGAAGGGAATGAAAGGTTATCTTTAGTCAACGTGATTAGATAATTACGTCATTTAGAGTCTAAATGAACTGATAAGTGGCAGTGTGTAAACATTAGTGGCGCTTAGCGAGCGGATTATGTTTACGAGGCTGGAAAGAAAATAGTTCCCTCGGATTGCTTTTTTCAGAAAGCAGCTCATGATTTCTGGAAAGCAACATTGCTGTGGACATTTGTTGAGTATCATCTGGCCCATTATGTCGGAGGGAAAGCAGAATGCTGTGAATCGTCTCAGTCAGCTGCCGCGCCGCTTCCACTTTTAGAACACGCCACTTCCCCGAGAACAGAATCCCCCCCAGGAGACCTGCGGCGTTACCCGCAGAGCCACGCAGGAATATTACTGCTATTATCCGGGGAACTCAGGGAGCTTCCACACAGCGGCTGGTGGAGAAACATCTGAACGGTTTCTTGCCCTGAAAATTGGATAGAGAAAAAAAAAAAAAAGCCAGCAAGGGGAGATTTCCGAACAGAGGGGGGGTGGGGGGGGGGTTCCTTTCATTTCTTGGTAATGAGAAAAGGGATGAAACGCATTTAGGGACAGAGAGACCGAACGGGCGTCGGACCGGAGGAATCAAATCAAACGGATTAAGAAAAATGGAACGACGCTGCCAAAAGAGCCCCCGAGTTCACACCGAGGTGTTGTCATAACGCCTGAGCGTTTACCCAACAGCGAGGAGGATGTGAAAAGCGCTTCTTCTCACCTCGCCTTGAGCAGCGATTTCAGACCTGCAACACAAAAATATAGAAACAGCTTGAAGAAAATATGCATTATTAATCCAGACGTATACCCATTACAGGCTTTGGTCACCTGTGATTACAAAACTGGATCAGCACAGAGGCCTCGAGCCGCTCACCCTGCAGCTTCATCCGCGTCGTCGGCCCTGACAGTCGTCTTCCCGCCGTCCCTCAGGAACCGGACCACATCCTGCACTGTCTGGAGAGGAGTCAAATTGATTCCTTTAAATATCACGCTTCCAACAAATAGAGCGGAGCAGAAAGAGGCACCTCGCGCGTGTATCGCATTACATTCTTTGTCAAGCCGACTTATGTATTCTTAGCTCAGCGTGGGCAGACGTAATGAGATTTAACGGCAAGAAGAGCAGTTCCTCAAATGTCTTTTTTTCACTAAACCCCCTCCCTCCCCCACCCCGAAAGATATATCTCACGTTTCAGCATTCGAGAACAAAATCTCGCTGTTCTTCCTTTCTCAAGGCATAAATATACACATGTAAATGCCAACTAAGCTTCCCACATAATTGCCACCGCCATATGGTTTAGCCCGAATAAGAAGAATCCTCCTGTATGCACACAGCTCTCCTCGGGGGTGGACATGTTTGTGTAGTGATCAGAGCAGATGGACACCCGGCTCGGTCTTCCTGGTGAGAACCGCCTACCGCTTGACCATACAAACACATAACAGTGTTGGATTCAACTAGTTCTGTGGCAAAACATTTTTTAAACCCGAGTTTCCGTTAACGCATGACGGACATGTTATCGAGGGGGAGGACTCACCCGCCCAGCGATGAGAGCCACCACCAGCATGTTGATGGGCAGCAGCAGGGTCCTGAGGTAACGCAGGGGGGTCTGAGGGGGAGAGAGAGACGGCATGTTAAATTCAGAGCACACGTCTCCCTCTGCGCTGTGAAAACACACAGCATCAAACAGCAGGCTTTTTTTTCTCCTGCGGCGCGAGTCTGAGGCTTTACCTCCAACTCCATGAAGTCAAATTCTGCGGCACAAGTGTACATCAGAGTGTGGAAGTCCTTGTAGCTCGTGAACTTGGACTTGATCAGCGCACTGATGTGAGCCTGGAGTAGATAGACGAAAAAAACAGTTACAGGTATGTCGTCTTTTTTTTGTTGTATAATTCCTGACTTCAAATGAATGCATTTGAAAATGTTAATTGTTCAGTCTAACCTTTTCTGATGGTGTTATTTAACAGGAACACATTTATTTAGGCTTCACACACCCAATCACTTAAATAATATGATAACACTGTGTGTTGCGTATTCTACATTGCAACACATTAGTAGGCATTGATCCAAAAAAGTATTTTAGTACAACTATTAAGACCTGAAATAAGGCATTTCCTTTGACTTTAAGCAAAGGTTGTTATCACGATCATATCAGGGACAGAAATGGACTTTAAAAGATGTCTCGAACTCTCAAACAAACATTAGCGGTGCCTTCCGCACACGTGAATCTCTCAGAGGGACGTTGCGGCGGCTTACATCATCCGAGGCACAGAGCACGGAGGACAGCAGGAACTTGAGAAGCACCGTGGAGCCGACCCAAGCCAAACCCTGCATGAGCTGAGGAGAGGGAGAGAGGAGACGCGCGGTCACTCACACACCATTTATGGCAGGAAGCCAGGATGGAAGCCTGAATGTGCGGTGCAGCCGGGACCAAAGCCGGGTAGATTCATACAGTTATTTCCAGCCTTTCAAATCTTTTAGCTTTATGGTTGATCCAAGCGGGAAATAAACTGCCTGATTTGAAGTTACGGCTAAATAATCAACAGCATGTTTACTCTGAGACATTTAAATTAGATTACTCGAAGATTTAAATAAAATACTACGTACCCAGATGACGACGCCAGGTTTGAAAACTTGAGCAAATCGATCCCTCAATGCAATGATTGCCTGAAAAGGGAAATCAAATTTTTTAAAAACCTACGTCTCTGTACATACAAATATTGTGTAAACAATGATTTGGTACTTTTTGGTACATTTCCCTCTGCAATGACATTCACTCAAACAAATGCGTTTGTCATTTCAGACCATGGATCAAATGGAGCCGACGCGTCACAGCACCGCACGTTGTGCGGACTCCAGAGACCCAACTCACCCAGATGGAGACCAGCGAGGAGGCGTAGAAGGACGTGAGCAGCATGGAGTTGCCAAACATCAGGACGAAGCAGACGGCGAGCGTTACCTAAGATGAACAGATAGAATACAGGCTTTATGACCTCAGCAAGTTCGATCAGCCGGTGTGTTTAAAGAAAATACAGTGGCCTCACAAAAACATATTTCACACATATTTATTCTGGTGGTCTGGAATCGACTGGACTAAGTCCTTCTGTTGTTACCAACACTCCATTAAACCGACGCTTTGTGCTTTGAATACACAGCCACCAGCAAAGTCTAATCCCATCCACCGAACCCCTGACGCTCAACAGCGAGCAGTGAAACAATGCACCACTCACTGCATCGTGCAGACAGACTGAGCTGAACTAACTAACTAACGAACCAAATCACAGATTTAGCGAGCTGCGTTTTACTGACTGATAAATAATAGTTAATGGCAGCCCTGATCAATCTAGTTTTTTTTTTTACAGCTTCAGCTGCAGGCGGTGAAAATCTACCAGTAGTTTCAAGGGACACTGCTCAGCCAACAACGCTGTAGGTCGCATAGAGGACACACACACACACACACACACACACACACACACACACACACACACACACACACACACACACACACACACACACACACACAGAGACAGAGACACAGACAGACAGACACAGTTTCCAGGCTCTCTAAATTATGCACAGGCATATTCCTTCCTCTGACATAAATCTTCACCATCTCACCACAAAGGAGGGGGGGGCGGGGGGGGTTCTCCTTATCGGCGGCGCACACAGGGACCGGCTAACAGCCCGGGCATGCTGAGCGGATTAGGGAGAAAGAATGTGGAGCAACGGGACAAAAAAGGCCTGACTAACACACATGCACACAACGATTACAAATCCTTATATTTTCACAAGAATCAACAGTCCTTTTGTGCTCGGCAGGCGGGAAGTTGCAAACACGTGCGGCCAACTTCACGAAGAGCGGCATCAGTAATGCTAACGAACGTCATCCCCGCCTCGGCTGCCGTCGTCATCATCCTCATGAATCCTCATCGTCCTCATGAAACTCCGCCGGCCGAAGGAGCTCAGCGAGATGAGGAGAAGCGAGGCGGAGCACAACACACAATCGCCACACACACACACACACACACACCCTTTGACGTCTCCTTCCACTGAGGGTCATTTTGAATCTTTCTATTTAAAAAAAACCCCAAACACTTTTTGTTGTCTCAGCAGTTCCGGTGTAATTATTTTCGCCGTTGAATCGAACCGAGCTACGGATATGCGACCGCGCGATGCAGCAGAGGCAAGAAAGCAGAAGCTCTCCTCCCGCTCAGCTACTGTACCATATGGGTGACCAGGATGGATTGCATCTTGGTGGCGGCGAGGTAACCCAGGATGTAAGAAGCAAACAGAGAAGCCACCTGGAGAAAGAAAGAAAAATACATAAAAAATACATATATACTAGTATGTGAAATTCAAGGATGTGATAAAGGGATTAGAGGTAACATAATACTACATGATGCTATTGTTACCAAATAGGATTGTGTAATTGTGCACAGTTGTGCGATTCTAAAATATTTGGAGTATTTATCCTCCCTTCTTGCAGGCGTACAGTACTCGATTTGCAGGTTACACAAGCAAAACAAAGAAGACGCCGTTCAGCATCTCGTCTCGTGTTGGAGCCAGCGGCGTCCTGAGGGGGCCCGCCGGGCGTGGGCGGAGCCGCCGAGGAGCTCGGTTCAAACTCCGGCTACTCTGTCCGCCCCCCCCCCTCATTTTCTTATGCCCTTTTTTCCTACTGCATGTCGAGAGAGGTTTATGAAATGAGGATATAAACGGTGCCATTCTTGGACTTTCACAATCTTTTTTCTTTCAGCGTTTTTTCTTTTCCATCCAAAATTTGAAAATCCAATCCAGACATTCCACGCTAGAATCCTCTGCTCTCTCCAGACTCTATTTCCTCTCTAACCTGCTTTCTTCCCGCATTCTCCCTCTTCTATTTCGATGTCTCTCTTGCTCTCCGTTTACCTGAGTGAGCAGCACAAACTGGGCAAACTGCCAGGGCAGCATAAAGCACAAATTGGAGACGCCCAGGGCGACCATGGCTGTCCTGCTCGGGTTCCGTGTCCTGGGGAGAAGCGAGAGAAAGAATTACGGCGGTGAAAGAGGGAGATGGGGGAGGAGAGAAGAAAGAAGCATTAGGACGACACAAGCGCACACGTTCACTTTCACTCCTGAGTCTGCTGCAAAGCCCCCACATGCGTACCAGGCGCCGTATGATACGCCAAAGCTCCCTCTCCTTTTACTGGTCAGCGCACAACAAACGCCATAACTACAGCACACAGAGCCTGCGTCACTTCAAAGTGTCCAGGAAACCTGGTGTTACTTTTGTTGTTTTGCATATTCAACACTGGAGGCGTAGCCGCTAACACCACGGTGTGCACGGGCGCTCCGACGGGCGTGCAGGCATGGAGATGGGATTGGCTGTAGGACGGAGCTTACCGCAGGATGTAGGTGAGAAGGAGCATCTGCAGGACAAGGAAGGGGTAGGCGAAGCTCTCCCTGAGGGGCGGAGTCCACATGACACGGGTGCTCTGACATGCACACACACAAAAGAAAACATGGGTCAAAACACCACAGAGGTTGGAATCCCTTTGCAACGGCGTCAGTAATTCACAAGTGTCTCCTTCCTCTGTGGATGAAAATATGTGAATTCTGAATGAATATAAATGGACAAATGAGTGAAACATATAGTTCGCTTTATAAAAGGGACAAAATTAAATTTGGCTGTTTTTTGGTCCCCGCACTTAACCAAAGATAAGTTGTCAGGGAAGAACGTCCACTCTGTAAAGCTTTGTGTTGAATGGATTTCATCACACTCGCTCTTTTGTTCATATATTAATAATTCAGCCTCATAAAGTTAATGGATTGGAACAGATTGGATCTCCAGTCATTCAGATCAAGTCTCTATCTTGTAAAAAAGAATGTGCGCCAAACTACAGCTGTTATTTTAATGTGCCATATGCTTATATAATTAACCCTGCACATCTGCTGGTAAGTACTTTTATTGTGTATACTCAGCATCTTTGGCCCACAGAATCGGTTTCATCTGATCTCATTTTCAATTTGAGGTTCGAGCGTTCCCTGGACATCTGTGCCATGTAGGGAAATATATGAAAGTCACAACTTGATGGGGCGATCCTTTTGTTGTTTTGCTCCTTGATATTTAAAAAAGCGTGCCACATATATCAATCTAAAACCAACTACCCGTATTCATTCCCAGCATCTCAACACGTAGTCCCCCAGATCCACTGAGTCCGAATCGATGAAGCGCGACACACTAACATTGCATTAATAATCGGCAGTTTGGAAACGGTACCACGGATCATTTTGTTTGCATGAAAAGCTTCGAAAATGACAGATGTAGTCGCAAATTAGATTGAGTGGAGAAGAGCACCTTGTGACTCGTTTAACTTAAAGTTTAGTTTTCAACCACGAAGGCGTGACTTGATGGCATCTCTGCACTTTGCTACACAATCTCACAGGTTTGTCCCCCGAACTGCAGTCATGAGGCAGATGCTTCCTCATGAAATAATCTGTGAAAATAACAGATGCCTCCGACTGCACTGGGAGAAAAAATTAGAGAGGAGGCTTTTAGCTCCAGCTAAAACCGACTGAGGTCCTTTTGATGGCTTTAAACGAGTCCCTCTGCTTTTTGAAGCGCTCTTTCATTCGGAGTTTCTTACAGAAACGGCGACCCAGAGAAAAGCAGTGGTCAGAATTGTAGCGCAAAGCAACATTGAGCTCTCCTACTCCACGGACACCGGATGGTCAGGGCGCTGCACTCACCTCGCCGTGATTGAAGAAAAAACACACGGCGGTGACGACGCCGCCCAGTCGACTCCCACTGCGCGCGAACACCGGGGAAGGAAAGAGAGCAGACGGCGGGATGAGAAAGGTCGTCCGCCACCTCTCGTTTCACGTCAGATAGAAACACAACGGAGGAGTTACCTGAGATAGACTCCGTAGATGAAGAAGAGGCTCATCATCGCACCGTTCAGCAGGAACACAAAGCTCACGTAGAAGTACGCCGGGTCGCCCATCCCTGATGTGCACACACACGCAGACAAACACACATTTTGTAACAATGTAAAGTTTCACCAGGTTCATTGTATTCCTGCAGCCGCCTGGAAGTGGCTTCAAGCTGTGAGGCCGGTGCAGAAATAGCCCATGAAGCAGAGCTCTCGGCTCCACAAATCCCCCGATGCAGGAGGGTTTTATTTTCAGCCGCTCCAATTGGTATTCCCTATCACACAGAACCAGTTGTGTTCTTAAACACAATCCATATACGCTACTGTGATAACGGTGTCTATGGTTCGAATCAAACAGAGGACCTTTAAATTCATGCAATTCCTGCCAAAACAGAAGAGATTGTGACAGGTTGTGAACACATTTCTGATTGCCAGAGGAGAACTATAAAAATGTAATTTATGGGAGAGATCTGAGGAACTGGCCGAGCACTTCCCTTTGACCTTATCACAGTGCACGCGAGACAATGTTACACTGCATTAGAATTCCCCTTTTAGTACAGGAACCAAGTGGAGCCTCGGGTGTGAAAATGTGGTATGATGCGACACGCCGACAGCTACAGGAAACGCTCCCACTTTGTGACGGCTCGGTCTTGTGCAACGCAGCGCGTGTCAGGTTTGTGTAAACACTGCGAGAGCCGCCCGCGTACATCGACCCGGGGGGGAGGTGGGGGGCGGGGGGGGTGTTCACACTAATGAGACTGACAGAAACACACAGATTGCAGCCTCACAAAAGGGAGAGCTGACAGCTTGTTTACTGTTAGCACATTTACTTTTCTCGAGAATGTTCCTGCGAGCAAATATCAAAGAGCTATTTATAGGTTAAGAGCATTTTTCTTTCGGGGCTACTTTAACAATATTAATGCTTCTGTCACTGTGTTCTGCCCGTTGTTGCCTTATTTTCTTTTGATGGCGTCGGTTTGTAATTCCCAGTCTTCCCCAGAGTTTTCTTTCATGGTTTTGTGAGACTTGCTCGATTAATCTGACTATTTATTCAGCTGTATTTCCTTTTCAATGGGAATAGTGGCTGTAGAGTGCTAAGCTGAGCAAGGGACCTTCTCAGTGCAGATCATTGTTTTAATGATTATGTTGCAGCAGCTGGTATTATAATATATATATATATATTTAAGAATACCGTGGCATTAGTAGTTTTAAATATATAAGCTGCGCAGAGGGAGCGTTAGGAAGTGAATCCATGAGCACCGTTCTATTAAATTAGACCTTCCATTGAGCGCAAAAAAACCCAGAATCAAACGACTACACGGGTTCTTTGATCAATTCCTTCTGTGTAATTCATTCGTTTTTCTCTTCACTGCCAACTCCTCGTGAGGCTGATTCGACTTGTGAAGAAAAGCATCAAAGTCTGTGAAGAAATGAGTCATCTAGTCAATTCAGCGCGAGACGGTGCGAGTGTCTTTATTGTTGCTGTAGGTCTTTAAGAGCGGAACTATCTGACTTTAGGACAACCTGCTGTGTGTGTGTGTGTGTGTGTGTGTGTGTGTGTGTGTGTGTGTGCGCAAACAAGAGCTTTTGCAGATCAGGCAGCAGTTCCGAGGCAACGGTCCGTACCTTCACAGCTGTCCACAGGAGTGAGTCCCTCTCCTCTATTGATGGACCAGCACATCTTTGTGGGAATCCCAAAGTATCCCATAACACCCGTGTACGTCCGGTACCAGCTGGCCAGGACCACCTGGGGAGCAGAGACGGATGAGAAACAGTGCAAAGCCTGTTCCAACAGAGTGTCTGAAAGGCCTCTGTGGCCTTTTAGAATCCCATAACCTTCCCAGTATGTGTCTCTCTTGCACTGTCTGGTCTTGAATACAACCCACCTAGCTATAGAGAACAGCATGGAACAAAAAGCATGGAACAAAAACAGAAATGGAGTTTTAGATTAAAGTTTGGTGTCGTCTTATGAACGAGGATATTCACCAACAGCATTAAATCTGAGATTTAACAATATTCTTCAAATTCAGAAGTGAGTTTTGCTTTAACATACTTGTACTTAATGAAGCTTTTACTGTGGAGTGTCACTATGTTTTCGTTTTGATAAATAATATATTCTGAAAAACAATGGGTGAATTCACAGAACTCAACACAGAACTGCAGCTCCTCTACAAGAGCGCAGAGCACAGAGTTGTTGAGCAGACCTACGGCGCACAGAGACACAAGGGGTCAGATCTGTGGCGAAGAGACCGCTGGGTTTGGAGTTCAGGACTACCGAGCACATCTCCATATGCACCGACGGGCGCAGATTTGAGAGCACAATCGTGCATTCAGCCTTTTCGTGTGGGCTGTGCGATGCTCGCTGCACCTGCACAGGATGCTTTTCTTTCTATCCTATTTGTGCAGGTTCTAGCGGCCGCTACAGCCGGTCGATCCTTTTGTGAATCATCCCCCCCTCCCCCCCAGAAGGGTGAGGCATTACCTCCGGATAGAGGTTGAATCTCTTCAGCGTGTTAATAACCAGGGGGTACTCCGTCAGCCGATCGTTCATGACCATGTGGAGGCCGTCCAGGAAAGCCGGAGCTTCAATAATGGTCTTGTAGTACGAATAATACAGACCCTGGAACCAACAGAAGATATATTTAAATGAATTCAACACAAAATGAGACATCAAAAGACACAGCAACATTTTCAAGTTTTTGAAAGGGTCAGTTTAGCGCCGTTTAAAGCACCGTGGGAGAAGAAATGTGCAGAGGACATGGAGTCAGTGAGGCCACATTATACATCGGACTTGATTTTTTATTTTGCCTCCCACGTTCATTGAAAATGAATTCTTTGAAACTGACAAATGGCAGCCTGCTTTCCTGTCGGGAGGAGACCTGCGGGTCAGAGTACACCTCCCTTCAACTTTGCACCGACGCTAGTCAAATAAAAAACAGGGTTTGGAAATGTCCATGTCCTCCGTCCGGCGCTGAGTCATCACCTTGTTTGGACCATAACCAATAGCACATCACAAACTGCTGCATTAGAACAACATTAATTTGAATATTAATTTTAATAAGCAACAGGGACGCGCCGCTCCACATCAGTCCCAATCGTCTGATACCAGTGATGGATTAATTGGATGAACGCCCCACTGACTGGAATCATTCTTATATGTCAGGCAACTCACACATTGCTTTTAAACAAATTGTTACTAATGAATACAGGGCATCCAATACTCAGGCCGAATTGGACCGATTTCCAATATCAGCATCTAATAATGAATTGGTTGTATAAACCAGAAAATTGCTATAGTCCAAAACCCCCAAGATATTACATCTTGAATCACATTAAGCAAATAAGCAGATTGCCTGTACTTGAACAAAAATGGATAATTGCTTTTGCTGCATATTCATTTTGCTGCCAGTGGAGTAATGACGTGCCCTCGCACTGTGACCTACCGTTCTTTTAGATTAAAAGTACCTCTCATCAGGGTTTATGACGAGCCATGATATGCTGAGATGATATGAAATGTACATTTTATGCAAAAGGAGTATCAAGGGAACAGTATCCTCCTACATGCAACGAATCCACTCCCAACATCACAGTTGCTTCCGCGGATTATTTTCTGCTCGACTGTCCTTGAAATCTAGTCATACGGGAGATACGCCAGTTATGAAATGTGTCAGAAATAAGCAGCAGATCCCAGTATTTACAGCTGGAACCATTAGTTTGATTAATTGATTGGTCGGAAAAATTAATGATTGTAAACCGTTGTGATAATCAATTATTATTTTAGGACTGGATTTTAGGATTTAGGACCTTTAAACAGACAAATGATTTCCAAATCTAGTTAGTTGTATCCCTGCAGCATCAGCATCTCCCTTTCATGCATTTTGCATGGGCTATTCCATCATACCTCAAATACGAAAACAGTGTTTAAAAATAAAATATTAATAGTGCCTCCCAATCATAAACAAATATATAATATATTACCATTTCTGTCCGGAAAGCCATTTCCTTCTCCAGGTTCGACAAGTGCGAAAAGTGTCTGTCATTCTCAAACAGCTGTGAGAGATGATGCCTAGTCACGGGAGGAGAAACGTGTGAGCACGAATCCACAGTAAGTAAACACACTAGTGATGAACGAGTGACGAAAAACACGCGGATGGTGCAAACTCACCAGTGCAGATACCCGGTCAGAGCAGCTGTGGACGGAGAGAATTCACTTTAAACCGCTGCTCCAAACAGTTAAAACTAACCGGGGCGCAGATAGCAACATACGTGGCTACGGAAAAAAAAATCACCGAAACCTTAGCTTAAAACTTTGCCAGAAGACCTGTTAACACATAAGCTGACAGCCACCGCGACTAATTACTTCATTTGCGATGTTTACGCATTAGCACCCATCGGTGGCTAGCGCTGATGAGCTAACGTTAAGGCGAGCTAACGTTAGCCAACTAATCAGCACCGCGGTAACTTAATTTAGCGGATGCTAGTAGTGTAGCTACATATCGTTAGCAGCCGTTAGCTAAGGTGGGCTGGGTGTTGGAGGGAGGAGGAGGGGGGGGAGAAGCTAGCAGGCTAACGAGCCGAACTTACCGAGGAGAAGAGTGATTCCAAGCTTGGCAACCGCGGAGGGAGTGAGCCCGAGCTTGTGTCTGATGCCCGAGAGCCCGTTGGGGTGCGAGCCGTTGAAAGCTTTACCGTCCCTGCCCGGCCGCCGAGCGTTACTTTTGCCGGGGGGAGAAACAAGCGGGATCCTGTCGCGGTCAGCCTGGGTCGCTGGACTCTTCCCGGTCTGTTTTCTGTTTTTAGTCACCATGCTTTTCCCCGTGGAGTGCCGAGCTTAAGCAACGGCAGCGAGGCGCGAAGTGAGGGAGACAATCCTCACAGAAAACAAAACAAAAAAAACCCTGAGGGGTGCGAGCAGAGCAGCACTACCGTCGCTTTGTATCTGTGCCTCGGATCTGCCCCTTTCACTACTTGGGTGATGCTTTCACTGGGGTTCTCGCTACAGACGCTTGTGATGCTCCGCCCCCTGCCGGACGGTTGGCGCCACTACAAGGAGCTTCTGGTGTAACCATGACAACGCCCACCAGTGGGTACCATATGGTTACACACGCACGCGGTTTAGCTACAGGCTTTACACGTTCATGTAATGACTATGTTATTTATCATTTATTTGTATTGCATCACATAGGTCCACTACTTAAACAGTTTTTGTTGGTCCATTTTATTGATAATTAACTTTAACATTTTGATAGATAATTGTATATAAATGCAAACACCACAATTTGATTAGCAGCGTACCAAGCCTATATTACTGCACTGCGGTGCCTCATACTCTGTATTCATGTATAACTTTAAAACGAATTATAAGATCAGAATTAGTTATAGACAATATATTTATATTTTTTGGTAATACACTTTATTCATGAAAAAAACATTACCACATGTGCACAATATAAATTGTTTTCAGACAGAAGAAAAATACCAGTGCACTGATACACAGAAAAAACAAAGATATAATGTTTAAACCAAGGTAGAATGCTAAAGCGGATCAAACTAAAAGAAGAAAAAAAGTAACTAAAAACATTCCGAAAAAAAGCGACTTTGTCCCAGGTTATTTATATTTATGGAGTTGAAATGTGACTAAGTGGGCAAATATGTCCTTATCGATTTGCTTGGTCTCGAGCAAGTTCCACCAGCATTTAAAAACCAGCAGGTGTCCCTAAAGGATTACAACATATCTGCACCCAAGAAACACAATTCAACATCTTAGAATGCCTTTCATAACAGTGGCTGTCTAATAAGATATCATTGATGTCTTTATTTAAAAGGTGGGCATCACACCCAAACTCTCATTGTTTTTTTTCTTTTATATCTTAAAAAAATGCTGTTTCAATTTCATTGTCCTGTTTTAACACATCCCCATTTTGCTGATAGCAGCCAGCCACACTACAGCTGCAGCCTTGATACCATCATCTGTGGAAGGGAGAGTTTCTATAGACCTCCAGCCCAACAAAAAGAACAAGGACAATTGTATCGTCATATGATTTTGGCAGCTGAGCAGACGAGCAGTCATGCTGGTTCCTTCGAGCTGAGACATGCGTGCCATAGGTATCTATACACAAGAGACAGGGACATGTCAGGAAACCAAAAGCGAGGTAGAGCAAACATGTTGGCAAAGCTGGGGTCGTGAGTCTGATCGTGACCTTTGACCCTTGATGGCACAGTGCAGGATTAAGTAGAAGGTTCGGAAATATGAATCAAATATGAAAGAGCCTTGAACATTCTGTCTACTGACCAGGAGGGGGCAACTAGTTGCAGAGATATGTTCGATTGTTATGGAAATCAATATGAGAAATGGACTATTCTCACTAAATGTATTCCCTTAGTAAACAATATGGTCTCAATATCTAGTTTCAAGTCATCTTCATTACAGCACGATGTTCATTCAGTAAATTAGAGTCAGAGTAGGAGTCAAATAGACAATAGTCATCAATTTCTGAAAACCTTAGCTTCCATACATCTTAAGTAGAATAAGCTTTTCTTTTGTACTTATACTTTTGTACTCCTGAACTTCATCATCAGTACAGCTTACCTGATACTGTGTGGCTTTTAGTGTTTACTTGTAATTAAATATCTTTAAAAAAACAAACTTTTTTTTGTAAAAACAAAAAATGCTGCTTGGAATAAGGAAGCTTTCAGCCCAAATTATAATAAAAGTGTCTACTGACATAATACAAATCCTCTCAATCTAGGCCCGAAACACAAAATGTAATCCTCACGCGTTGGTTCACAACCTGTTAAAATATACTTGCCTTATCCAAACACTGCCCACGCTCATCTGACAGGACGCTTATTGTTGTACCAACCTACAGCCGTTGTTGAAGACCGCCCGCACATGTGGACGAGTGGCCTTCCCTGCGAGCCACATCTCTCATCGTCAACCCCCCGATTTTGCAACCCAGTCGAAGACCCCCCCCCCTCTACTCTCGCCTCTCACGGTGGTATTTTCTCAATCTCTCGGCTGATCCTGGGCCCGCCGGGCTCCGGAGAAATAAAACAACTGAGGCTGGGTCTTCATCGGGGCTGTCAGTATACCGGAGGTGAAGGATGAGCCATTGAGAACTGTTGTAAATGTCCTTGTTTGAGCAGCTTAAACTACAGGATCACGTTCACGTTTGCTGACTCTTTTGATTGTGGTGGGGTGTTTTCAGATTAATCCAAATATTTGATATTTCCTCTGTGATTCGTCATCTTTCCAAACTAGTAGGAATGTAAGAATGCAGATGGTGTCTATCTAGAAATACAGGTGATGAAATAACTCTGTTCCTTATAGTTCCTTATAGTGCACTCTGATTCACCCTTCTGTCCCTAAAACACGTCAAACACCAGTCATTACATTTTAGTCTGAAGACAATAAGGATTGATGCTGAGTTCAGGGTAAGAGTTGGAATTATTGCAGTTATGTTTATGGGTAAGTGCAAGTCTCCAGTCAATGTGATGTCCTCTAAAGAGATGGAAAGTGTGTGTGTCTGTGTGTGTGCGTGTGCATGAAACAGGAAGTGGGACATGACGGACAGGGCGCAGGTGGGGGGGGTTGAGGGGGGCGGGGGGTGGAGGGCGCCCTGTGCTACTGTGACATGTTTATCACAGAGCAGAAACACATGCTGTCAATGATCACCCGTTGTTTGAGTATCAGTTATCTCAACATTACGGCCCATTAGTATTCTGTGGAAGTCAATTCAATTAGCGCTCTCCAGGGGCCCCGGGGCCACAATACCACATCAGTCAGGATGGAGCGGCTGTCGCGTTCAGACCGTGTGTGTGTTGTGAGGGAGAGTTTACCTGATTTCTTATTAGGGTTCCAAGAATGCAGATGGTGTCTATCTAGAAAGCCTATAAATGTCTTGAATATAGTTTTTGTTGTTTCTTTGGATTCAACACTTTTCTTTAAAATAATTAGATTACATTACTTTGTACCCTAAAACTAGTAACCAAAGTCGCACAAAGCAGTTTATTCCTCTGGATGAGACAAACAGCTGGGGGGAAAGTCATGCAAATGCTTGTTTAGAAATGGTTTATTTGTTATTTAATAGAGACCGGGCCTTTAAATTCCGGGTGTTACTTTGCAATTCAGAGGCCATTATTACATTTTTTGGTGAAAGCGACCCACCTCAAATGTTTTATTCTGTGAATGTTTGTTAAAAACCTACAGAGAAACTTTAATACCTCCTTCATGTCAATTTTACATTAACTCGGATGTTTTGTCCCGCTCCTTCAGCAGGTGCTGCAGCTGCACTATACTTTTCATACCCCACCTCACCCCACCTCACCGGGTCATCGTCATGGTAACACCTGTTTCAAATGGACAGAACGATGGCCTCGTCCTAATCCTGGTAACACAGCTGCCTGGATTACCGGCGCACCTTGACCCTCGAGCGTTTGAATCCCTCCGCTTCCCGGGACAAAGCTGTTGGCCGGTTCACCTGCCGCTCCGTCGATGGAGAGATAAACCAAGGAGGAGACGTCAGGCTCAACAGAGTGTGATACTCATCAGGGCCTCATCTCGTTAAACCAAAGCTGCCGGTGGCTCAGCAAAGCACTCGCGTTAGAGAATTGCCGTTTTTTTTTCGCCCTAAAAGCTCGTATCAGAGGGGCGGGGCCCCCACGTCTTTGTTAGCCGTCCTGGGATCGGGTGTTTTTATTCGGTTGATGTACTGATGCTAACGCTTCGGAAAGTCTTGTGAAAACGTTTAAGTGACCATGTAGTTTCAGAGGTTCATGAGTCCAGCTGGTATCAGTGAAAAAAAATAACAGACAATGACAAAATGTGCATTTTCTTGACAATGACATTTCTATATCAATGCCTTCAAGCTCAAATGGAATGTTTTCCTTTTTACAAATGACCATTGAACAATTTCCTAAACAAGGCACAAAATGCCCGAGGGAAGAAACAAATGATGTGATGGTAAATGAGTTATTTGAATGTGTCCGACTCGCAGTTTGCGGTTTTAAACATATAGCATTCAAAGTTGAAACTGCTTCAGAAGCTTTGTTCAATTAGCATTTGAGCTAAATGTGCATAGCTAATCTTATTCAACATCTGAAACATGTGCAGACATATCCAAGCAGACAAACATTTCATTTAAGAAAATAATCAGCCGCCAAGTGGGAATGTATTTTAGGACTGATGATAAGTCTTTCACTTAAGTACAAATAAAGATGGAAAGCTGAAAGAGAAGAGCGAGTCGGAGGGCAAGCGAGAGGCCAAGCGGCGAGTTGAAAGGGAGGACATGATTGGCTTAACTCAGTGCAGAGAGATTGTTTCCTTTGGCCCTGTGCTGCGATTTCCTGCCCTCTGATCGTCGCTTCCATACAATTAGGCCGATGTGCAGGGCATGCAGTCATGTGACGGGCTTTGCCCGGCGCTGGCTGTGCAGACAAATGAAGCAGGGCAGCAACAAGTCAGCGGGTGAACACGCGAGAGGATTAGCAGCAGCAGCGGAGAGAGGGAGGCGCACGCGGTTTAGCTAGCCAGGCTAGCTGTTGTTAGCGCTGCTGGTAGATGGCGTCGCTGCCTGTGGATGAGTTTAAACTCTCCCCCACGCACATAGACACACACAGACTCACACACACTACCGTATCCTCATTTTACACACAAGGATTAAGCAATACTTTGATGTTGCCGGATATCTACAAACTTTGGGCCGTTATTTATCGTAGCTCCAATCGCTGAATGAGAATAGCCACACACAGTTAACACAAAGTCTTCACCGGCCCCCAAAGTTAATGTTAACCATCACAACCCTCATCTTAACCTTAACGTTAATGGGATCTGAACCCTCAAATAAAACGTGAACCCTCATGCAGGCCTCTGAAAAAGTGAAAATCTGAGAAACTGCGTATTCTCGTGTGTGCTCATAATGATAGATGTACAAGAGCGCACACACACACACACACACATATGGACACGCAGAC